CCCCAGCAGTGGCTGGGCATCGGGGCCAGGCTCTGGGCAGCTGCCCTGGGATCGCCACCCACGCCGGCCCTCGTCCGTCCTCCTCCGCTCCTTGCGTCCCCCCGGGGGCAGCTCTTCCACACCATCCTCCAGCTTGAGAGCGCTCTGCGGAGGGGCCAGGGGGGCATGGCACCGGGCACGGCACCCTGCCAGCCCACGCACTCACCCTCCCCACTACCACAGGACGTGACATGTGGCCAGATCCCGCAGGAGCCTCACTCACTTCATAGACTGAGAACTGCTGCTTCAGGTCGAGGTCAGTGCCCTTGTTGCCCAGGTACTGCTGCACCACCCGCTCCATGCCCTGCTGCTCCAGGCAGTCCGTCACGTCGTAGAAGGTGTCCTGGTCTGGGAGGGCTGCCAGCGTCTGAGAGCACCAGAGGCACGCCGCTGGGACCGGTGTGACCCACGCTGAGCCCCACCAACGTGGCACCGCGGCGACACCCTGCCACCCCCCCAAACCTTGTTGATCAGCGTCATGGCGAACACCAGCAGCTCGGTGTCAGCCCCGTTGCGTTGCTCCAGGATGGCCATCAGGTTGGACCACGGGCATGCGCCTGAGAAAAGCGACACGCGAAGGTGACGTGCAGGCCATGGCGGGGACACTGTCCCCAAGCAGGGACATCATGGGTCTGCACACACCTCTCGCCTGGTCCACGGCGTTGACGGCACGGATGAGGAGCAGGGCATTGGGTTCCGTGTATTCCACGAACACCAGCAGCAGCTTCAGGGCCATCTTCACCACCAAGCGAAACTGGAGAAGGGACAGCAGCTGGGATGGTGGCAGAGGGCTACCAGGACACTGCGGGGTGGCTGTGCCCATCCCTCAGGGCTGGGGGCTTTGCTGTGGGGCCAGGGACCAGTCTGCAGCTGTGATGCTGATGGTCAAGGGGCAACAGGAAGGGACCAGAGTGGGACCCTCTTACTCAAGTTCTGTGCCCAGGAGCATGGTCACATCAGGACAGGGAGCTGTGGGGACCCCGGGTGACTTCCAGATGGGTGGGAGCAGAACCCAATATACCCAAAGGTACCAGGGCACTGAGCCCAAAGGCAGAATGAGGTCAATCCCCTGAGGGATGGTACAAGGGGACAGGCACAGGTAGGGAAGTGGGGTGCAGCAGGGGGCACAGGCAGCCCCCCAAGGGAGCAGGGGCTTACTGGGCTTCCTGACAGCGTGTACAGCCACTGGATGGTCTCGTTGTGGTTGATGACACCCTGCATCCCGTCCACAAAGAGCATGATCTGACTCAAGGCTGCAAGACAAGGAGCGGGCAGGGTCAGGGCGCAGCAGGCAGGGGTAGGGTTTTCCCCTGCCCAGCACTGCTACACCAAGGGCAAGGTCTGGCAGCTGCCTGCAACGTAGTCCAGGCAAACTCGCTTGCTCACACCCCCCACCCAGAGTGCCAGCTTTCCTCCCCAGGCTGAGAGATGCCCTGTACCCAAATACCAACCCCGTAGGATGTAATTCTGGTAGTTCTGGTCGGCCTCTGCCCCCACTTTGATCAGGCACGTCAACCCATCCAGGTTCACGAACTCTGGCACCAGGTCCTTGTCCTCCTGCGGGGCATACACAAGGTGTTCCCACAGCATGGGGAGGGAGGGGCAGGCAGCCAGCCCTGGGAGGCCCCGGCTGGCTCCCCACAGTGCCGGCATCACTGTACCTGAAAGAGCTGCTTGAGGGAGAAGAGGGATCGTCGCAGCTCCGGCCCCTGCGAGTTGTACAGCTTCTCTGGAAGGAAAGGAGACATGGTGTGACGGCCTGGCCCGCAGGGCTCGCTGTTGAACCAGGGCTCCAAAACACTCCTGGCTGCCTGGGAAAGCCCCGCATCCTGGCGCAAGCCCTGTGCAGTCACCCCAGGATGCCGGCACTGCCTGGCTGTTGGACATGCAGGGTGGAAGCAGCTGCAGCTCCACAACTACTTATTTCAGCCCTGTCACCTTCCTCTTTCCTTTTTTTGCCTTTTCTTCTGCCCAGCAGTGACATAAATATCCCCTCTAGTTTCCTGTGCAGAACCGAAACAGGAACAGAGGCAGGAGGCTGAACTACTTTTAGCCATCTCTCCCTAGGCACAACCCTGGCACGGTCCTGGAGCTCCCAGCAGCCTCACGGTTTGGGAAGAGCAGCAGGATGGGGATGGGAAGGATGGCAGTGTGACACTGTGACGACAGAACGGTCACTGGGCTGAAGGCTAGATGGAGACTACATGCTCATGGGGATGGAGCCTGTGGGCAGGAGCCAGCACAGAGCAACCAGGGCAATGGGAAGCTGGAAAGTCCCCCTTAAACTAGCCGAGACCAAAGGCATCATGAGCCAGTGCTTCCTGCATCCAAAAACTGAGTTATCCGAACATCCCAAGATATTTGGGTCAGCTTTAGCGCTGTAACAAGCCAAAATCAAGTTGTCCAAGGAGCTCTCCAGACATGCCAATGAGGATTCTGTAAAACACAAGATCCCAGCAGCCTCCTCTGCTCACTTATTGGCCTGTCAAGGCAGCTGAGAGGGAAAGCAGAACAGCTGAGAGGGAAAGCAGAACAGCCCGGAACTCAGCCGGAGCCTGGGAACTGCTGGCAAAGAGCATGACCCCGACCCCAGTCCCAGCCTTCCTGCAGGGAGAGGGATCCATGCTGTGCCCCTTCCCGTGCCGCTTGGAAAGCTGATGCCCAGCCGGCTTTGCCCTGCTCCGAGCTTGTTTTCCCCCCTGCTAAGGAGCAGGGAAATTAAAAAAAAAGAAGGCTTGAGACTCCCAAATATTTTGCAGGACCTCTGAGCTAGCTACCCGAATCCACGGCAGCAGTTTCTGCTGTGTGAGAGTTCTTTATTTGTATCCAAAGCTATATTTAGAACTCGCCTGGATGACCCAGAATATCTGCAGCAGGCAGCGGGCTCCCAGTCAAAGAGGCAAAGGTCCTGATCTCTGAGGATGGAGGGGATTAACCCAGTGGGTCCCCACCAGCCTTATGGGGACCACGACTGCGAGGGGGTTATGGGGTGGGAGCAGACCCGTGCTGCATCGCTCCCCGTCTCCATCACAAAAAGCCCGGCCAAAACTCCCCGCGGAGGCCAAACCCTCCCCATGCGGGAGGGGTGAGCTGCCAGCCCCACGCCAGCCCAGAGGAAGGAGCGGCCCCAACTCACCGATGATGGCGTGGACTCGCACGGAGAGCTGCGTGCGCAGGATCAGAGTTGGCCGTCTTCCCTTCCTAGGGTGGGGGGCAACTGTGTGAGCACCTGCAGCGGGACCACACGGCCCCTTGCCCGCGGCTCCAAGCGCTCGCACGCACGTGGGGTCCCCATGTCCCATCCCTGGAGGGCTCAGGCACCCCGCGTGCCTCACCTGACTTCCTCATAGAAACCCTCCAGATCATCCTTCTGCTCCAAGAGGGACAAGTCGAGGTCCAGGTAGTGTCCAGAGGGCGAGACCTGTAGCGTGCAGTCCTCCAGCTGGGGATGCAGACAGCTCGGCTGAGCCCCTGTGCCCACCACAACCCTCCCAGATCCCGGAGGATGCAGCATTCCAGTTCACCCTCCTGCCTGCACCAAACCCACCAGGCAGCTGCATCCTGGAGGGGGGTGGCAGGTCCCACCCTGTCCCCCAGCACTGGCCCTGCAGGGAGATGCCCTGGCACCCTCTGCCCCCAGCTCAGCGGCAGATCAAGGGAGAAATGCGGAGCCCCAGGCTGGGAAAAGGCAGAGCAAGGGCGGCTCCACTCCTGGGCAATCCCTTGGGCGGGAGCTGCTGCAAGAGGTTGATCCACTCCCTGGGGCTCCCCTTAGTCAGCCAGGGTGCAACTGGGGCAGGATCTGTCTCATCCCAGGGCTGGTGCCTTTGCCTGGGCCGATGAATCACCTCTGTCTGCGGGGACTGGGTCTGCGGGATCTGCCAAGGCACCCAACTCAGCCAGGGACACCCCAAACCTTGCCAAGTCCCACAGGGATGTCCCCCAGTTGACGCACCCTCTGACTCAGCCCGCAGCCACGTGGCATCTTGCAGCAGGACAGGGAAAAACATAGCCCAAGGCAAGGCTGGAGCAAGGGCATCGCCACAAACAGTCCATGCCTGGTATGACCAGCACCTCTGCCACCCCATCTGGTCCTGCTCCTGAAGTGTTTCCCCTCTCCTAGCTCACCCCACTTCCAAGGAACTGATGATCCTTTCCAAATCTGCGCAGCAGTGCTGTGTAACCACCTGGGGAGCAAGGACAGGGGATAAAACCCCACTGCTGGGTTTTATATAAAACCCCTCAGGTAGGCTGGCAACCCACAGCAACACTGGGTTCGGGTCCTGCATCTCACGAGCTGCTTTCCAAGAAAGCCCTGTCTCCTCAGGTCACAAGATCACGCAAGAGCTCATACATATGACTTCACCATGACGTTAAAAATGGAGGGCAAAGAATAATTATTTTAATAAACGTGGTATTTAATGACTCTGACTAAACCTCAAGATAGCAGGCAATTTGGCAGGGCACTGCTGTAAGGTTGGACACAGTTGTTATGTTGTTAGCGTCCCGCTCCACCTCCCGAGGTTGCTGGCCACGCCAGCCCAGCTATGGCAACGTGTACCAAACACAGGCTGCTGGCACTGGGCAAGTGCTCCTGCCTGCCAGCTCTGCCTCTGCAGCAGGGATCGCTAACGCTGACCCCACAAAGGGTTGGCTTGCTGGGGAAAGCTTCCTGCATGGGGAAAGGGCTCTCCTGGACATCCCTGCATCCCCCCCAGTCAACCCGGCATCCTCCCAAGCATATCAGAGCCCTCCTATATCTTCCTAGGCATCCTCCCGGGCATGGCAGACCCCCCTGTTTCCTCCTGGGCATTATCTCAGGTACCCCTGCATCCTCCCAGGCATGGCAGGCCCCAGTGTTTCCTCCTGGGCATTATCTCAGGTACCCCTGCATCCTCCTGGGCATGGCAGACCCTGCCTGCATCCTCCTGGGCACTCAAAACAAAGTGAAGAGTAATTCACAGCTCCAGCACAAAAGCTTTGCCTTCTCTTGGCTGCCAGAGTCCCGGCAAGCCAGAGTTAACATCCCCAGCTCCTACCGGGGACGGTAACATGTCCCAGCTGGTGGAGGAGGCCAAGCCCCTGGGACTCAACCCTGCGTGTTTCCCAGGCGCGCTTGGCAGCACTCCCCACGAGGGATGCTCTGAGCACCAGGCGCCTGGGTTCGGCTGCAACCCCCAGGCCCTGGGGATGGAGATGGGCTGTCCCAGGCTCATGCTGCCCTGCCAAAAATCCCAGGGCGGCACTTCCACACCAGGGAGCACTGACTGCCCCACGGCCGGGGTTAGTCCCATGCCTTTGGATGAGGTTTTGAACCATGCAGGATTTGAGCTGGGACCTCGAGGACACACTGCTGGGGACAGCACGTTGGGGCCATAAGGTACTGACAGCTCCCAGCACGGAGTGGCTGTGATCCATCCATCTCCTGCCTGTAAAACCATTTTAAAATGAACTGAGCTTTAAGGGTCATAGGGTCTCACAGGGAAAGCGGAGCTGGGGGAGGAGAATGTCCCACGCTCACACCTCCAGCCCATGGTTCCTGGGAGCCCCAGCACCCCACAATGGCACAGATGTCCTCCATCCACCCTGTTGCCCAAAATTTGAGATGTGGGGAAGGTGGAAACACATGGATGTCCCTGATCCTACCAACACCCAGCAGCTGTGGCCAGCTTCAAAGCTCAGCACGGACACACGTGTCAGGCAAGCCAGTGCCCAGCTACCCCCGGAGCAGGACTGACACCCCACAAACCATGGGAATACGATGAAGACATCCCACCTCTGAGACAGAGGCATCCTCCACTGAGAGCTGCACTCACGCCACCCCCCATGGCATCACATCTTCCTGCTCACCCCTATCACAGCATCCCCACGCAGGAGGCAGCTCCAAGGCTGGGCAGTGAATATCCTCATTATCTGCCAGCAGAGGAAACACTTTCCTCATCCCCCCAACACTTTCTTTTTGCAGTAACCACAATTTTCCAGCGTCACTGTACCTCTTTTAGGAAGGCTATGGGGAAATCATGGAAAAAAAAAAATTATTTGCTCCAACTGAGGCAGTGCTCAAGCTCGAGGCAGCAGTTAAACACTGGTGGGTCAGAAACACCTGGCATCACAAGCTTCTGCTCACCATCCCAAAACACATGGGGATTGCTAGTTTATAACCCCGGCTGGCAACCAAGTGTGTTCACCTCGATTTGGTTTCAGGGCTGAGGGGTGTTTATGGCCAGGGCACTCGGTCACTGCCTCCTGCCCGCTCCTGCCTGACAGATGGCAGCAAGTGGATGGGAGCACTGCCATTGCCTTATCATGGAGAGGGGCAGAAAAATCATGCCTAGGCCAGGAAGGATCTCTGGAGGTCACCCCAAGCTGGCCCAGAACTGCACACTTGCTCGGGCATGTCGCTCTCGGAGCTCCTCAGCCAGGTTTGTTGTTCATTAACAGATCCCTCATTGCTCAGCAGCAGCAGGAAGACCCCAGTGCTGGCGAGCAGCCGGTGTCCCAGGAAAGTCACAGCTCAAACATCTAGCTGCAACTCCTGTCCCAGGACCATGCCGGGAGCTGGTGATTGCCAGAGGCTGCTGAGCACCAGCACTCGGCAAGAAGCAGACAGCAGCGTTCCAAAGCCTGCCCACGACCCTGTCTCACCACTTTTGTGCCTGGCAGAGGTTAAGAGGGGCAAAGACCCTTGGCAAAGCCCCCCTGGAGTCAGTTAGGTAACAGAGGCCAAGCAGAGCTGGTGGGACAGGGCTTGCACAATCCTACATCAAGGTCGCTCCAGCAGCTCTCCTCTACGGAGCCCGAGAGCTTGCAGCCAGTGGGGGACGAGCTTATGGCACCAAGGCTGGCAAACTGCTCTTCCCCAGCTTTCCCAGGGAGGAAGGGGAAAGCCAAGCTCCAGCCCATTAGGTTTTGCAATTGTTTGGAATCCCTAGATTCAGAGGTGAGACAGTGCTAAGGGCAAGGGAGTGCAGTGGCCTTTGGGGTCCGGAGAGACAGCAAAACAAATCTGCCCTGTCAAAGCCTGCCTGCGGAGGCTCAGAAAACCTCCACGCCCAGCACGAGCATCACCCAAGGGTACTAAAAAAATGCTGGAAAGCAGGAGAAGATAGTATCAGCCTGGAGCTGAACAATGCGGCAGCAGCAAACAAAGCAGGAAGGTATTTTCAAGCACAAACACACTTTCCGGAGAGCATGAAAAAGTCATCAGCAGCGGGTCTCGCTCCCAGAGAGGAAGCGCCGAGGGTGTCACAGGGCAGGACAGGCTGTTCGAGGCAGCGAAGCCAGCACGAGAAACCTCCTGCTCATCATCCCCAGCTGGTCCCTCATGGCAGTTCAACCCCTGAGTGCCTGCACTTTGGTCCCCTTCCGATGATGTGGGGACCCCCAGCCCAGCTCCCTCCTGGCCATTGCATCCTCCTCCCGATGGTCTGCAGCTCCAGGCACACTGCCAGGCACATGTCACTTGGGACAAGCCTGGCACTGGGCATCCCCAGCTGAGTTGTGGGTTTTGGTTTTGTTTGGGTTTTTTTTCAGCCAGTTCCTTGGGAAAAATCCAACTGTTCATTTACTGATTTCAGGGCAGTGAGTAATGGAGCTGAACGCTACCTGGCACAAAGGGCACCAAGGGAAGTTTTGGCTGGTTGTGCCAGGGTAACGACGTCTGCATGGCTCCGGGGTGCCAGCTCTGAATTTGGACTGAACTGCATGATTTGGGAGACAGACCTCGCTGGACAGGGTGCAAATCCCATTGCAGGAGACTCCCAAAGGAGACACTGGCTCATGCAAACCCCAGCCAGCATCCCAGCTTGTCAGGCCAGGACAGAGTTCTGCCTGATGAAGGCAGCAATGTTTATAACCTATATAAACCAGGAATCTGGCTTACAAGCCCAGAGCAGGGTCTGAACTGCTTGCCTGTGGTTTTGCCATGGGGTGGTGCAGGGAAACTAAAGGAAACACCATCCAGAGCTTGGCTTAGGCAGGGAACAGATCCTGAACGCCCAGGATTAACACACCTCTGCCAGGCACAGGACCCCCTTGTAAGGTTCCTGTCCTCAGGAACACCATGTCCAGCCCCCCGTGCCACCACAGCAGCACCCTGGGCTGGCGATCCCGTTACAGCCAGCTCCTGCCCAGGGAGGAGAGCACATGCCTGAAATTTGAGTTTGCTCCATTCGTCATGTCTCGGGGCTGTTTGTTCCCAAACAAACTCCGTTTAGTCACCGCCTAAAAATCCCATGACGGCGACATGAGACGCAGCTGCTTTGCTCCAAGAAAAATGAAAAAGGGGATAAAAAAATGGAGTGTTTTCAGTGCAGGCAAAGGTCTCACAGTGATTCCACCCTCCCCTAGCAAGACAGCGAGCTGAGTGCCAGGCACCCCTCCTGCTGTCACCATCTCTCCCGGCCGGTTCTGGGCAGGACACTGTCCCCGTGCCTGCCTGGG